GCCGCTTCCCTGGGGTGTCACCAGGGGAGAAGCGTGGGCTGCAGCTGCTTCCCGAGTTCCTTGTCCTCCGTTACGGGGCTGCTTCCACGCATTATGTTATTTTTATATTTCAGCTGAATAACTTAACCTTGATGGAGATCAACACCACCGGGACTTTCCTCACTCAAGCCTTAGATCACATGTACAAGCTCCGGACTAACCTTCAACCTGGTGAGAGCACCCAGTCCCAGGATTTCTGAGGCCAGAGCCTCGAACCTCCGGGGGAGAGGGCGACGGAAGGGAGCAGTTCTCCGTTCCTCACCCTTTGGACCTTCACCTGGGCGACCTCCATGGATCTCCTGAAGCCACCTGAGCCTTGTCTTGCCTCCTCGGTGGCAGGGAGAGAGCAGGGAGCCTCACGGCAAAAAACCTCGGTGGCGGGGAGAGAGCAGGGAGCCTCACGGCCGGATGGGAATCGCTCTGGAGCTGCGGGAGCTCCTACACGTTCCCTCCTGGCAGATGTTGGCCTCTGGCAGATGTTGGCCTCTCTTTTGGGTTCTGAGATCTTCTCAGCGCGGGCGGCGACTTGCCAGGGCGAGGCAGCTGCTGGCTGAGGGTGCCAAGGCGAATCTCTCCGCCCCGCTGAGCGTGGGTGTACTTCATAGAGGGAACTTCTGAGGGCAGCACAGGCCACACACTGGCTTGAAAGCGATAAATTTCTGGGCGGTGCTTCGCTATAAATTTTCTCAGAGCCTCGGGAAAAAAAGAAAAAAAATAAGGGCGGGGTGAGGGGGAGGAAGATGTGCCGGCAGCGAGAGGTGTCTGCTGGGGAGATCAGCTGGGAAGCAGATCCATCTGCTCTGCGGAGAAGGACAAAAGAAAATGGTTTTCCCTTCTCCAAAGCCAGCCTGTCTCGTAATATCATACATCTATTTTTTTTTCTTTATTATTTTTTTTTACATGTGTAAAAATAATAAAAATAATCGCAGCTGAGCAAATAGCACCGTATTCTGGTGTGTCCGTGGGTTAAACAATGCTTGGAAAAACTCAGCTTTTTTTTTTTGTCTGGCTCCTGTTCCCCTGCAAACAAGTGACAGGCAAGGGCAGGATCCACGCCGGTGTCGGGCTGGGTTGAGGGCAGATGTAAAAATTTTTTAAAATGTGACGGGTGAGGAGGTGAGATGCCAGCTCGAAGCTGCCGAGTCCGTGGCTTCTGCTTCCATCTGATGCTGGGAGCAGCTGGAGAAGGGGGAGAAAGAATCCTCTGCCGTCGTTGTGGAATAGTTTATTATTATTATTTCTTTTTTCCTGGATGTTTTCAGGAATTACAGCGATATATTCATAAATACCTAATTACTACATTCGACAAATAATATATTACATTACAATTAAGCAAGTACACTTAGAACATGTTTAGGGATTGGTTTGTTTGGGTGGGGTTTTTTCTCCTTTTTGTGTGTTTTTTTTGTGTTTTGTTGTGCTGTCTTTCACAGCATCTCAGCTGCCCCCAGCGGGCTCTGCCTTCCTTTCCCTCCTCGCAGGGACACGACCGCTCGCCACGGCCCCGGGAGGGGAATAATTCCAGGGAATTGATCCAAAAAAACATGATTACGGGCTGGTGAGGGGAGAAAAAAATCTCAGCACAGGAGCTGCTACGACGCGAGGCTACATCCCAGCCAAGCTTCACCGCCAGGGATAAATTGCCGACGATTTTCCATCCCTGGTTTCTTCCTCCCCACCAGCTCCCCAAGCACACGGGAGAAAAAAAAAAACCACGAGTGGAGCAACGAGCGTGTTTTGCCACGTTAAAAATTCCCGGCGTTGGCAGCGGCTGGGCCAGAAGCTGGCGACACGATCGGGGATTTAAAAAAAAAAAAAAAAAAAAAAAGATTAATTTCTGTCACAAGGGCATTTCGCTTTTTAATCTTGAGCCGAGCTGTTGGGTTTGGGATTTTTATTTTGTTTTGGTGCGGGGATTTTTTCTTGGTGAAGCCAATGGGCGAGCAGGGAGGGAGTACAGGGAGAGGGTTAATGCTTCCTTTGCGAGTGCAACGGGGAATTTAAAGTAGAAAGCAGAGGTCACCTTTTCCTTAGACATGAGCTTGTCTCGTGGCGAATTAATTAAAAAAAACAAACCACAAAAAATAATAAATAATTTACAATATTTAAAAAAAAAAAAAAAAGGTGTTTACACGGAAATGTGGTTAAAAATTATGTCAAGGCTGGACTTGCCCCCTCCAAAGAGCTCGATTGGGGTTTCTGCCACCACAGATCCCCCTCACAAAACCCCAACTCCCCCTGCCCAAACTGCCTCAGCTGATTGTCTCAGGATTTTGGGTGGGGGGACAAGGACATCCCGGAGCCACCCTTGCCCCAAACCCTCCCGGCGCGATTGCATTATATTTTTTAATTTTCCAGATGGCTGCGACCCCCACAAGTGCCCGGCTGGATCCAAAAAAGACCCAGAAATCCAAAAAAAAAGGTTAAAACCCCCCCAAAATTAAAAAAAAACCCCAGGTGGTTGAGGTGGGTGGAAGGGCTCAGCACCTGCCCCCGCTGGGAAAGGGGATTTATTTATCCTGGGTTTAAAATTCCTTTCGAACTCTTCGGGTATTTTTCTGTCCTGACCAGCAGCAGTACAAACACTAAAAGCAAGTTGATCCTTTTGCCAAAAAAGAAAAAAAAAGCAAGAAAATTAAAAGGGGGAGGGAGAAGGGGAGGGTGAAAAAATAAAAGTTAAAAAAAAAAAAGCAGAAACATATTAAAAAAAAGGCAAGCTTTTTATGACAATAATTAAAGTAATAAAAACATACAAAACTTTTTCTTCTTTTAATATATATACACAGTACAAGGCTGAAGCCCCTTTTTTTTTTTTTTTATCTTTTTTAATGTGTTTTTTTTTTCCAAATCGCCAAACCGGGGGGTGACAAGGTTGACCCCGCGGGGGCCCACGGCGTGCCTGCGCCCCCTCCCCACCAAACAGCAACCAAAAAAAAGGTACCTTCAACCAGTTTATTGACTTTATTGGTTTGATAGCGAAGTGCATTTCCAGTGGAAAGCCCCAGGGTGGGTTTGGGGAGGGGGGGAAGCTCCCGGTACCGGGGATTTATTTTTTTGGGGGGGCGCTCAACGGCTTCTTGCCGTCCCGCACCCGACCCCGCGGG